TGGACTATTTGTTCTGTGAGTGAACAAGGGGGAAAAAAGAAAGATTAGCAGGAGTTAGAGAATTTCTAGAGTATTTTTCTGATAACTTCAGTCTGTTGGTGTAGTATGTGCAATATCCACTTTGCAGGTGGTGTCTCGTATGTAACACTGGCTTTTATTTAATTTTTGGGGTGGGGAGAAACAGGGTTTCCAACTTTTTTTCGCTCAAGCACAAGTGAAAGCAGAGGTGTGTTTCTGGTGTGGCTGTTTTGCATAGGCTGTGGTTCCTTGTGCAGATGCCACTGAAGGTGGTGCCAGTGAATGTTGGTAGCGGTACAGCTTGCTAGTTGGACAGGTTGTCAGTCTTCTTCAGCTGTTAAGACGGTGTGTCCCAGGTACCTTACATATCCTTCCTCTGTGCTGGACAGCTTCCTCAGAAGCTGAGGCTGCCTTTCCAAGAGCTAACCTGAGATGCTCCTTTATTCTCTCTCCTCTCCCTGCTTCAGTGGTCAGAAACATCCTTGACTCTTTTGTCAAATTCCGCCCCACTCCCAGTTTTTTTTTCCCTCTCACAACAGAGGTACAACATTGGCTTTGGCATTTGCTGCAAGTACCTGGTCAGCACACCTGATCTTTGCCTTGACAGGATCATTGCGTCTAGTCATATCTTTCATTTCAGATAATCATCAAGGCTGGAGGAGTAGATGTGGTTGCTAGCTTTATTTTACATCAGTTACTGCCCATCAGATAATCCCAAACTGGAAGTTCCGTAAATTGTATTCTCACTGATAAGTCCAAAGCTTTCAACGGTTTCGGTTCAGGAGATGAAAGGAGAAACTGCTCCTGTCGTGCCACAGAGCTGGGAATCTGGCTCTTATGTGCAAGGAAAAGATTAGATAATGATAATGGATTCCCCCAAGTCTTCAAAACTGATGAATCTGAAATGAAGCTATGTAGTATAGCCAGGGCCTTGGAGGCAAGTATCCCATTACTGGACTCAAGACATTTGTAAGAGGCCGTGTACTTACAGTTACTTGGTCACTAAGCAGTTTATGGAGGATGTGGCCTGCTGCAGTGAGTTGTGAGGCTAATACAGTTCTGCTGTACACAGTCAACTCTCGATTATTCATGGGAGACTATCTGGGTTGCGGATTAAGAGTGCTGGGTGCAGGGAAGCTCTTCGCTGTGCTGCTTTTGGACGGTACAGTTGCATGCTGTGACTCGTGCTGCCCAGGCTCACTGGTCCTGTGGGTCCCTCGTCCCAGGGCTCACTCTTCTCTCCTGCATCATCACCGTATGTTGTTCTAGAGTAATTTATGTGTGTCTGGTATTATTGCTCTCCTATTCTATCTTTACCCTGGAAAAGTGGTGGATGATCATAATAACATGACCTGTTTTCTTTCGTTTATGGACAAGACAGAAGTATGCAGAGATGAAATCAGCAGATTTCATAATTGCAAAATTAAGATTGTCTGTGCAAACCTTGGCTTTGCATCATGATGTCAGTATGACAGGCTAATTACGCAGTCCCAGCAGGACCCTGCTTCATTCAGGGAAGGGATAGAGGTTCAGATATATATATTTTTTTTTTCACAGTTTGTTATGTGGTCCATGTATTGTTTCTGTCCCCCATCCACATGCCATAATGAAACAGAATTTTTAATTTCCTCTGGGCTTCTCCATGCAGCTCTGACTAGTCGTGCTATGTAATACGGAACTGCAGTTATAACACCCCTGTACAGTGGAAAGATGTTGTTCTCTTTTACATTTTGATAAATTTAGCTTCAGTCCCTGCAAAATTTTCCCTCAAAGTGCCGGTCAATTTTTGGCATGATGATTGAGAAATGTAGGCAGGTTTTTGCCCTGCCCCAGGAGGGCATCTGTTTATGCTTTTTTTGGTGGTGTTTTAATTTTTGTATGTTCAGAGGTCAAACTGCGATCAAAGGGTTCTAGACTTCCAGTTGGGAAGGTGGAGAGCATAACCACTGACCAGGTGTGATGGCTTTTCTCCATCTTGCACTGCAACTTTTCAGCAGGTATTGGGATGATGCCCACGAGGAGGATTCACATTATGGAGCTGTGCCTTCCTTTCCTGTCTCTTCCATCAGACCAAGCAGGAATTCTGTATATGGTAGATTAATCTTTCTTGACCAAAGTGCATCCATTTTCTGCGTTGAATGAGGCACAGGTCATGGGTGTGGGGGGATGGATTAATTTGACAGTATTGCAGTGCAAGGGAAACTGAAATGTGATGTCACAGAAAGCCTCGTTTCTTGGATTCCCTGTGTTCAGAGTGGTGCAATAGTATTCGTAATAAATTTTTAGTTTTCTAGGTAATTTTTTTGGTTACTTTTCTTAACCAAACTGGAAAATCTGAGCTGTCGTCATGTAAAATTATACTAGCAGCTACATGGGATTGTGCACTTATCCCACTGACTCCAGCTGTGTGGATTACCAGCGTTCCCAATAGCAATAGTTGGTTACCTTCATCTGCAGACATAAATGAGTGTGAGGGGGCAAGACATTTTGTGGATAATTTGCCCTGAGCAGTAGAAGAGGAAAATGCATGGGGTTTACTTCAGATCTGCAGGCTCTGACTGGCAAATTCCTTCTCCGTTTCTGCCTTGCTGAGCCTGGGCACTTTTACATAGTCAGCTCCAGCCGTTTTATCCCTTTATCCTATAAACTTCTCACTCTGGTGTCCACATACAGTTGTTTCTGACTCTGAAATTATTTCTTCCATTCATTTTCTTTGCCTTGTTTCTGTTCTTGGTCTCATTGTCCAGTAGACCCAAGTCCTCTTCCTCCTCTCGATGGTTGCTATCTTAGCACCTTGCTGCTTCATCCCTTTGGTCCTTGTCACTCTAGCCTCTCTAGCGTTGGTACCTTGAGAGGATGAGAGAAAAGGAGAAGCTGGCTCTCCTTATCTGTGCTTTTCCCCTTTAACATGGAGTTCATTATATCCAGCTAAGTTAAACTAAAAAATATGGCATAGCTGTTTCTAAATCACTGTATTGATTTATTGATTGATTGATTAAATCATGGTGTATTTGACACCTGCTTTAAGACCATACTTTTTTCCCCTCAGGCGTAGGTGAGCCCTTAAATTGCAAAAGTGTCAGAGCTGGCGAGTTGGAGGGTGGTCAGATGGAGTTGCCAGAGGTCAGGTTTGTGCAGGTTCCCTGGTCATGAAAGTCCTTTGTGGGGAAAAAGGCTCTGGGGGAGCTGGTGGAGGCAGTTGCTGTAGGTCTCACTGGAGTGTAGTTTCCCAGGGGAGGTGTTGCTGCCGCAGGCAGCCAAGGGGTTGTATGAGCAGTGCCCAGCCCTCTGAACTTGTCTGTGGTTACCTGGGTGTTAAATGGCAGCTGTGCTTTTGCACAGCCTTCACCTGGGTTTCACAGATTTGTAAGACTGATTTACTTTCAAATAAAAATGCTAATGTAGGACAAGTGTGAAGAAGAAAATCAGTCAGCGCAACAGTGATTAATGTATTGAAAGCTGTGGCTGGCCAACAATTAAGATTTACTGAAAAAAAACATTATATCCAGGGGGTGGGATAGTTGAAGAGGGCCAGAAAATTTGTGAGCGAAATATTTAATTTAAAAATGTATTTTTAGAGCATGAATTGCTGTAGTATTTAAGCATGGATTAATATTTGCTGTCAGATGTTCCCTGCCGCATATAACATCCAGTTCCAGTTTGGCACTCTAGTGATGTTCAGTATTGACACCTTCTTATTACTTAGCTTGAGGCAGTCCCATTGGTATCAGCGAGACCACCTGGAAAATTAAGTTTCTATTCTGTTGCAGTGACTACAAAATTTAATACCTTTTAGTTTTCTAAAGGAAAACCATTTTGGTTCATAATTCCATTGAATTCTTCTAACTGCAGAAATCAACTGAATGCAGATTTCCCTGTCTCTATCAATGCAAATCAGGATTGAAAGGACTTTCATGTTAGGATTTTTAAAACTGTGCAATTACATGCTTTTGTAGAAAATGCAGTTTGTGTTCTGCAAATCTTTGCAAATGGAATCATGTCTATGGTATTACTGAATAAAATAAATACTACCCTTTCATGCAAGCAAGTACACACCCGTTTAAATTTTTTTAACAGCTATTTGCTATCAAAATGGTTATTGGTGCCCTGGCGGCATTCTGTGTTCGTGTGATTAGTCAGTTGCTCAAGTGTAGCGCTTGCATGAGTAAGGATTAAGCTTGATGATTGTTAGGTTTCATATGAGGAAATACAGTTTTTGAACTGATTGCTTTAGTTTGTCTGTATCATCCCGTATCTTCCTCCCAGTGATCTAACAAGTAGTGACAAAATGATTTCTAGTCCTTGGAGACATTTGTAAGTTTTCTTCAGCCTCGCTTACAGCCTTGCATATTGAGACATCCTTTGGTATTAAAGGCATGATGACTGGCAGACGTCCGTCCTTCTCCGCTTTTCTTCCTTCAGCATATGTGAGGGGAAAAAAATAGAGGTAAACCTTGCATCCAGCTCAGGGTGAAATACTCCAGCTAATCTTCAAGGTGTCTAAATTACAACAGCGTTAGTAGGGCATGGGCTTTCTTTAAATAGTTTTGATAGAAATTCAAATAATTTCAAAGAGGCCTCTTGAAGGAGTCATCTAGTCACTGGAGTGGGTAATTCTGTTTTGAAAGCTTGCGGGATTTTCAGTGGAGCACTGGCATTTCCCAGTAGACTTTAGTGACATTTATCTTGAGAGCTTTCACTTCACTTATCTCTTTCTGTCTTCTCTCCTGCAATGGTAGAGTCTGTCAGTCCTGCTTCCAGGACCCGAGAGGGATATTGCTGCTGTTCCTGTCTTGAATGCCTGCTGGGAGAGGAAGTGGTTTCAGTCAGAGCCTGGCTATTGAGTGTGCCTGACACTCCCCGTCTCCACTTCTATGCTACCGATACCCAGTTTGGGAGCACTGTACAGTCGAGGTCTCTGTGTACTGCACAGATGCCAAAGATGGCACAGGGGCGGGGCTGGGAGCCAGCACAGCGTCGCGATGGAGATGTCTATTGGAACCGACAGCTCCACACTCAGGAGCTGCTGTCTTGCAGAGATGCTAGGTACTGCAGGGAGGGTGACTGCATCTCCCGTTTCCCACTGAATTTCTACCCGTTTCTTTAGCCTTTAGCCTGGGAAATGAAAATACTGTCTGTCATATTGAAACTTAGGTAGGATAGACCAATGACACAAACATCCCTAGACTTGAAACTAAAAGAGATGCTGATACCGCTTGATTCAACCTTTTCTCCTTTTTCTCCTCCCTTCTTGTGCTTTTGGACTGAATCTGGTGACTAGGTGGCTCTGTATCTGGGCAAGTCTGTCCTGTGGTGTTTGCATCTGTGCTTGTTATTAGGGCATCTACTGCTTGACATAGTTACCTCTTTAATCCCAGCATGAGTTGGAATTTGCTGCTGAAAACTTGCCGGGGCAGGTGCATTAGAATTTGCTTTAGCTATTAGGATGTCTGTTTGTTGAGGCACCAGGGTTAGTTTTCTGTAACATTTCAAGGTATTAAAAGCTATTGGAAGGCTACAGTGAGAGAATTTAATGGTGGAAGTGCTTTTCTGTGAGGATGATCCATGTGTGGACAAAGGAACAACCAATGTTCGAAACACGTTAATGCCCACCAGTCTTGAGATAATCACTAATCTCTGCATTCACTATGATAGAGGTCACCGGAAAAATCCACAGCACTGAGGAGTGCAAAGAGTCTTCGTGGTCCAGGCACAATTGCTTGAGGCATGGAGGACCGATTGTCACCTGACTTGGTTAAGCTAACTCAGAATTCACATGGGAGTATCAGGAGTGCATTGGCATTAGTTGTCCTGGTGCTGATAGAGGTAGAGGCTCAGGCCTGTTCTCTTTGGTGTGGTGTGGGTGATATTTTCAGTTGGATTGAGGGTATTACAGCACCAGCCAGGGCAAGATTTCTCCTATGCAGAGTGGGTCTGTACATCCTAAGCAAAAGCCAAAGCTGGTGATTGAGTTGTTCTCTGTGTTTGGATGACAAGTATTAAATGGAAGGAAGTTGGTTAAGTTGGCTAGATGATAACTGTACAGATTATGGTGACTTCTACAAGACCGTGTGAATTCTCATGATGGGTTTCAGCAGTGTAGGCAGTTGGTCCAGCTTGGAGCACAGATGGCTGTGTAAGCAAACAGCAAAACTTGTGCACATGTAAGTGCCTGTCCTCCTTAGTTTGTACAGTTTTGCTCTTGACTTTCTGACTTAGTTTGGTGAGGTGATGGCTGAGCTGGGAGTGGGTGGTTGAATAAGAGCCATAGGTAACTGACTTTGTATCACATGCTAATTGCTGATTTCATAAATAGGCACTAGCTCTGACTGTGCTGTAAGTTAGAAGGTGTTAAGGTGGCAGATATGAGTTAAGCCTTCGTGATTTCCATGGCATCTTCCCACTGCTGTGTAGTTGCAAGGCCTTTCTCGGTTTTGGTTTTTGTTGTGAAGAGACCCCCTTGGAGGCAAAGTGTGAAGTCAGCATAAGTGAACTGCATGGAAATGGTTCTAGCACCTACTGAGCCCTCCGGGAGTCCTGTAATCTGAATTCCCAGGTGAACTGGCGTTTAGCAGCTCCAAGTTACCTGAAATCTTTTCTAAGGCAAGGTCACTTCATGTGACTACTCACCTAATAGAACTAGTGACATGGATAAGCATGCCAAGGAGAGCCGGGCTGCTTACGGCTTTGATCTCTTTAAGTCCCTTATGAGCATAAATATTGACTGCAGCTGCTTGGTCCTTGGGGTTAGGATTGAGCTCCAGATTGGCACATAAGTGTCAATATGTAGGTACTTACATGTGGAAAGCCATTGGACACATTCCCGTTGTGATGAGGGGTTAGTTGTCTGGAGCCAGTGGCTCTCAGAGGGTGATTCAGGTGGGTCTGCACTGGGTGTTACACCAGCCTGAGCTCTGTCTGTTGCTCACTGAAGATGGAGTGCTGGCGTTGGCTTCTCTTTCCAAGAACATAAGAGGGAGTCTCGTGACACAGAAGAAAGCATGTGTTTTAGTTAGCTTACCGGGTACTGCTGTCTTGTTTTTTCCCCTCCTTCCTGGAAAATGTCTGGAAACTTTCATCTTGATCAGTCTGCAAAGATTGCTTAGGAAGGTTTTGAGAGACATGAGTCATCATGAGTGAATGTTATCAATATAAGCCATGAACCGAGCTGTTTTGGAAGACTTCTTTTACTGTTTGTCGGCTGTTATTTGTTATTGTTTCTGCTGCGTTGAAGATCCAAGTCTGCCTTTTGGATCCACTTGTGAAACATTTTTCCCCATTGCATTCTTCCTGCTGCATTCAGGCTCTCAGGAAGGTGTCATATTATTTGTACTGTTTAACCAGTTATGTGTATGGCAATACCATTGTGTCATGTCTTGATAATCTTGTGAATATTAAATTGTATTCCAAGGTTCACCAAAGCAAACACATTGGACGGTTAATACAAGTTTTCTGTTTAGCCTGTTTTGTTGTTGTGGTGTTGGTTTATTTTTTACAGCTGCATTACATTATTAGCACAATAATATTGTATGAATTCAATTAAAAGCTATGCTGATGGCAGAGGAAATTCAGCAGATTCATGCAGATGGTTGGTAGAGAGTAGCCTTCCACAGAAATGACTCAGCTCTGGTTCAGGCTGGCAGAGTGAACAATTCCTGCCTGTGCAGGGTTGTGAAGAGAGCACTGTTCACAGGAAAGCGGCAGTAGAGGTTAAAGGGCTGATTTGCAAAGTACGTTCCCACAGGTAATGTTCTGGCCTAGTTAATGCATTGGCAAGTGAAGAGTCCTTGGCATAGAAGATGAGATGCTAGAGTGACTGTAAACCAAAAGCAAGCCAGTGCCAAGACCTTAACTTTTTTTTTCTGATAATTTCTTTTTCCAGAACCATAACAACCTACTGTGATGGCTTTGGTGAGGCCGCACCTCGAGTACTGTGTCTGATTTTGGGCCCCTCTCTACAAGAAGGACACTGAGGTGCTGGAGAGGGTACAGAGGGGGGCTACCAAGCTAGTAAAGGATTTGGAGCATGTCTCATATGAGGAACGGCTGAGGGATCTGGGGCTGTTCAGCCTGGAGAAGAGAAGGCTGAGGGGAGACCCTATCGCTCTCTACAGCTACCTGAAAGGAGGTTGTAGCGAGGCGGGGGTCGGTCTGTTCTCCCTAGTAACAAGCGATAGAACAAGGGGAAATGTCCTTAAGCTGCACCAGGGGACGTTCAGGCTGGATATTAGGCAGAATTTCTTTACCGAAAGGATTGTCAGGCATTGGAACAGCCTGCCCAGGGAGGTGGTGGAGTCACCATCCCTGGCGGTGTTTAAGAGACGGGTAGGTGTTGTACTTAGGGACATGGTTTAGTGGTGTTGGTAGAGCTAGAGCAAAGGTTGGACTCAATGATCTTGAAGGTCTCTTCCAACCAAAACTGTTCTTTGAGTCTATGATACTATGACAGTTGTTTTAAGATGACAGTAGGGCTGCCTTTTCTAACAGCCACTGCGCTTCCCTCTCCTCTGCCCCCAGCCTCGCATGTCTAGCACCTCCGATCGCAAGTCTGTGCGGTGAGCTGAAACCTACGCTGATGAGTACAGGAAATAATTATGTGTTTCTGTCCACTGACTGAAAAACTCTGGTGCTTAACACAATGGATAATGTGGGAACGTGGTGGGGGAAGAGCGAATTTTGCTTTAGGCAGCTGCATTGAGGACTTGGAACAAATGAGAGCAGTCACGAAACTGAAGCCATGGAGTCATGGCATTTGGCTTGCTGGGTGCATCTTTGGTTTTATGATGGGTGTGTAAACAGACGTGAACAACATTCTCTTCCATTTACTTCAGCCGAGGGACGTTCCTCAGGCGGCCGTTGTTCTGCTGCATTTGTTTGGGTCATAAAATGGAAAGGATGGTCTTCATATACCCTCTTTCTTTTTTATTAAAAGATAGAAACCAGTTAATGTGGGGTTTTTGTTGAAGGAGATTTATCTCAACTGTCTGTTTCTAGTCCTGGCTTTTATGGATGTTTATAAACCTGAATGGAAAAACTGAGAAAAAGCTGAACACCCAAACCAGCTTCCTTGCAGTCTTCTGTCATGATCTTGTTTTTGAAAGAAAAGTTAATTCTATGGTAGTTCTGTGAAACATAAAACATAACCTTGTTTAAACAATGAGTTATCTTTGCTCAAACGTACATTTGTTTGGAATATTGTATGTTATTTCTGGTTTAGCATACATTTATGTGCTGTCACTTGAAACTATTTTCAGAATTACTGATCAAAATCACTGCAGTGGAATATGGGGAAACATTATTTTTTATGTGGAAAAATAAGTTCTTGAAAGAAGCAGTACGCAGTTGTAGTTGCAACTTGGCAGCCTGTCTGTTACAGCCATGCAGTTATGTCTAAATGTTGAAGCTGTTCAGCTACACAAAACTGCATGCTGTCTTGTTTAGCATCTTGAAACTGAGAGGTAAGATAGACGTACATTTATGGTCATTTAGGCATTCTTTCAGAAGGGACTGCTGGGAGAATGGATGCTGCTCTCATACCTGGTAATCTTTCCTTTTTCCTGAAGTTTATAGCTTGAGAAACCAGAAATCTGTTGAGCTATTAGCTACTTGGAAGAAAATGATATTTAGGTGACAAGCCAGCTTGGGCATGCAGGTGTGGGTGGGCAGTTTGGCCATGTTAATTTCTATTTAATCCGCTTTATTGTGTTTCTTGACAGTAGTCATTGTACTGTTATCGTAAAACATTAAGATGATGATTCTAGCTTTGACCTTTTGAAGAATAATCTGAAAATGCATTTCTAAGTAATGGAAAGTAGAAGGGCTTGATAATAAGAATTTTTAAAGTTTTGTAATTCTGTAATAAGTGCTTTGTCTCATTTATAACGTGATGATTAAATAACGCAGAGAACTTTCAAGGGTGCAAATTGATGGGAAGAGCTCTTCATGTATGATAATGTGGTTCTCATACTAAGCAATCCGAATGCTGTCTCTTTTGCTCCTACGGCGTATCTGTTGCTGTGAACTGGAAAAGTTGCACAAAAAATTGCTGTGTTTTCTGTTTCTCATTTATTCTTTATGTAGGATTATGTGGCATGATTATGTTTGGCAAGAGACATGAATGGAGAGAAGTCTTCAAGGGATGTTCAGTCCTGCACAGTCTGTTTTGTACAGATAGACCTGCTGGAATTTGAAATATTAGGCAGAACCAAATGTTGGCTTGGGGTTTCTATATGCTTTTCAGGTAGTGGAGTTTTCTGCTTTCTTAAAAATGGGGATGCTACAGAAGTGGTGGAACTTTCTGCTGAGACAACTTTCATTAGCCGTGCTGGGCTTTTCAGTTTCTGTTGTGAAAATACTGCAACAGTTTTATCAAGGCCTTCTCCAAATCAGCAGACTTTGTGGTAAGAAACCCTTATCAGTGAAAGCAGCTGCTTTGACTAGCATGGCATTAACCTTACTGTGGAGCCTGGCAACATGGCAGAGACCTATTGGTTTTCTAGAGTATTTCCTATGCTACTGCAGTGACAGTAGTGTAATGTCAGGTGAGTCCCCAGAAGAGGTGGGTAGGGACCAGCTTCTCCTGTTGGCAATGATGTTTTCCATTGTGATCTCAGTACCGCTGTTTAACAATTCAGTGGAGTCTTTTGCTTGGGGGAAGGCTCGTCTTTCCTCTGTTGCTTTCTTCCAGCTGCTCTCTAGGCCTACTTTTGCTGTGATTTTGTGACCAGCCAAGTCACACTGAGTAGACAGAAAATCAGACAAGGGAAGTCTGAAAACTTGTAGTCATCTAGTTAAATGTTGAAAATGACGTCGCTGTTCAAAACTTGAAGCTTTTTCTTGCTTGTAGTTGTGCTGTGTGGTAAGTTCCTCAGATATCTGGCATCTGTAAGTTCTCAAGGAGAAACTGGAGAAGATCCCATTCCACAGTCATTCCATTGGCCAACCAGGGAAAAGGGGAAGAAATCTGTTGAAATTCACCTTCATAGTAGACTCTAGACACCTGGTACGTGATCATAACCAAATAATTGTGGACATGTTCTGTGGAATACATTGGTTGTAGTGGGGTTTTTGTGTTTCAGACACTTACTTTATTAATGTAATTTTTTGTCCACGTGTTGAAGAGGCTGTAAACTTCAGGGAGCTAGAAATCATATCTTTTTGCATCTGAAACATATTCAAAGGCTAACCAAGGAAACATTTTTCTTTTTTAATCGGTTAACTATGCCAGTATGGATGAACAAGTGTAAAGTCTTTATTCTAAAGTGGAGATCTCTAGACTTGTCTGTATAGTAACTTTCTCAGCTGTCAGCTATAATTATACCTGTGACTGTTAGAACATTTACACTCCGAAACGGGGAGGGGGGGGTGACCAGATGGCATCGTCATGTGATGGGGACTTTCCACTTTCTTCCTGCCTCCTGGCAGTGGTGTAAAGAATATGGACGAAAATAGATGGATACAGGAAATGCGTAAGTGAGAACTGTTCATATTGGTACCACCAGTATCTTGCTGCATGTCTGACTTGTGATGATTTGCCTTTAATGGTTTCAGTTTAACTGGCTTCTCTGAGATAAATTGCATAAGGATGCTATAATTGCAAGCTATACTTCCAGACCCTAAATATGGTGAAAGAATGACTAACAATGAAGAAAAATTTTGCCGAGATGCTTGGTGTGGCATAGTGTGACCTGAATTGAATTTTCTCATCCTCTTTGTACCTGTCTCTTCTGGGTAAATAAGAAAATTAAGAGCTACCCTAATCTTGAATTTACTGAAGGTAACCTTGAAGATTTTGTTTCTTTGTTTGTTTATAGCCTTTTAACAAAAACTTGTTGGGAAGGGGCAAAACCACTAACATGGCAAAGATCTGTTGTTGTATCTGGTTTGTGTATTGCTGCTGTAGGACAGTGATGATGGGTAGGGTGTCTGTTACTGAGAGTCTGAGTAAAAGTAAACATAGCAGCATAAAACCTATCACCCCACTGCAAATTACGTTGTTTCATTTGTGCTAGCAGTGGCAAGAATGGGATTAAAAGGGATGCAACCGAGTGGTGTTTTTTTCCCTGTTTATCAGATAGAAATTTTAAGGAAAAACAACCCTGGATCACGGCAGCCTCTCTCCACAAGGCTTGATGTACCTCTTTTGCAAGTCCTGGAGCTCTGGCTGAGACTGGGAATGCAGGGAGACGTTTGCTCTGTTTCGCATGGGGTGAGACAGCACTTGGCCGTGAAAGACCCTGAAGAAGCCTGCTAGTATTTGAATGCAGCAGTACAGAGGTTAAAAGGCAACCTGCCAGCCCTGTTGGAGCAGTATTTCATGGTGAAGTGGAGGAAGTAGGAAGTCAGAAATACAGAGAAGAAATATTTGTAGTACTTGAGTGAGCATCTAAAAACTTCATAATTAGAAACTCTTAAGATCCAATAGAAACTCCAACTGACAATTTCCTGTCCTTTCTGTGCCTCCCAGCTGCAACTGAGCAGCCAGAAATGGGAGTCATATGTAGTCTGTGGTACTTTGGTGAGAGAGGGGAAAACATCATTGGTCCATAAATGCAGAACATTTTTGTGTAGAAGCCGATAGAGTTGCAGGGAGAGAATGTTCTTTGCTCAAGGATATAGCAAAGGCTGCTGCTTTGCTGATAAAAGACCATGTGGCATTTGTTGTTTTTTTTTTTTAACCTGTCTGTTGTAGAACTGTTTGGTTTGTGAAATTTATCTCTCCAGGAGGTCAGTGATAGTGGTGTAGTCTATATTTGCCTGAACAATGTAATGACGGCCCTCCTTTCTCTACTAGGAACATAAGCTGTTTGTCTTGCTTTTCAAAGTCCCCCGCTTCCTTCTTCTCTCCTTAGCTGTTGTCTCTTACTCAGTCCCAAAGAAAAGATCAATTCCTGCCTCTCCCTGTGATTGCAAAGGCAGGCTGTATTGCCTACTTGTTTTTCAAACAAACATCTCTCTGTGTTCTCCCCATGTTGCCTCTCAGGCTTCAAAGCAACCCTCCAGAAACATCCACAAAGCTTTCTCCTTACTTCTTAAGGCCCTGCAATGGTATCCGCAAACCCTTGAGGAGGGCCAGTGCTTCTGAGGTGCTTTGGCTTTGAATATTAAACAAACTGTAATGTCATTTTGTTTCTTTATTCCCTCATTTCCGTATCTCCTTTCATGTGCTTAACTTTTTTTTGGCAAAGACTGCTTTTTGCCCTGGCCCAGAGCTGGTGGTTGTGGGCCCTTCAGTAGCACGGATCATGAGTAAGAGCTCGCGTGTGTATTTGGCACGGTGTTTAAAGAAGTATTGCAGTAAGTGGGCCATGAAGTTATTAATGTATCTTTTTTCTCTCCACAGAAGCCCCTTGTGCTACTCCACTGATCTGTAGCTTTGGAAGGCCAGTTGACCTGGAGAAGGATGACTATCAGAAGGTTATATGCAACAACGAACATTGTCCATACAGCACTTGGATGCACCTTCAGTGCTTCTACGAGTGGGAAAGCAGCATCCTCGTCCAGTTTAATTGCATTGGCAGGGCCAGGAGCTGGAACGAAAAGCAGTGTCGCCAAAACATGTGGACAAAGAAGGGATATGACCTGGCTTTTCGCTTTTGCTCCTGTCGGTGTGGGCAGGGTCACTTAAAGAAGGACACTGACTGGTACCAAGTGAAGCGAATGCAGGATGATAAGAAGAAAAAATCCGTGTTGGAGAAGAGTACAGGAAGGTCGATGGCAGAGTCAGCAGAGGAGGCCAAAAAGGGCAGGCCGGCCAACAAGCCGCAGAAAGGCTTGAGTAATGACCTCCAGCGAAGGCACTCGATGGACAGGCAGAACTCGCAGGAGAAGGGCGTCATGGGCAGCAGCTATGCCGTTCGTTCGCCTTGTGTCTCTCCTGGCCAGTCCCCACCCACTGGCTACTCTATTCTTGCCCCCACGCATTTCAGTGGCCCTCGTTCCTCGCGATACTTGGGAGAGTTTTTGAAGAACGCCATTCACCTGGAGCCCCATAAGAAGAACATGGCTGGTGGGGGCATGTTCAGGAACGCACATTTTGATTATGGGGCAGCTGGCTTGCAAGCGCATAGATCAGGACACTTTGATGCCCCTGTGCAGTTTTTGAGAAGGCTCGATCTATCTGAGCTGCTTACTCACATCCCCAGGCATAAATTGAATACTTTCCATGTGCGGATGGAAGATGATGCCCAGGTGGGCCAAGGGGAGGACCTTCGGAAGTTCATCCTTGCTGCTCTTAGTGCCAGCCACAGGAACGTTGTAAACTGTGCCCTATGCCACAGGGCGCTGCCAGTGTTTGAACAGTTTCCGCTGGTGGATGGGACCCTGTTCCTTAGCCCATCGAGACATGATGAGATTGAATATGATGTTCCCTGTCACCTTCAAGGTACAGGTTGTCTGTCAATCATGCTAGGTTTCATTGAATGATGGAACTGTGCCCTGTCCCCCTCATTATAGGTTTTCGTCCTGATTCTGTATTTTTAAGCAATTCTGTAAAGCTTGGAGTCATGTCCAAATTAATCATGTGGATCAGATTGAAACACTTAGAAGGAATTACAAAAAGCAAATGCCATGTAGAAGGATCCCTGCCTTGTATTTGGGTTTACAACTCATTTGGTTTCTAGGTAGACCACGGGAAGGTTTTCCGGTCAATCTGTTCTGCAGTGTGTGCGTGCTGATTTATCTGTTGTGAGCTTTACTCCAAGATATACATCAATCTTTTAAATTTAAGCATGCTGTGCTGCAGCATCAGTGAAAGTTCTGTTTGTACCACCGGTGAGATGAGATGCTTCTCAACTGCTTTCAGACTAGAGAATATCAGTTTTGTTTTATAGCAAACAATTTTATTTTTTTTTAATATGGAAAAGGATATAGTCTGGCCTGTGTTAACACCGTCCTGGAGAGGCTGGATGTAGTAAAAGTAAACTTTTACTATGGCGAATTGAAGCAGCAATCTGTAGTGAGGGTTTTAGACTTGCTTCCAAACTCCCATTTGTTTGGACTGCATCCTGATCATGTCCCTGCTCCAAGCTGAGCTGAGACTGAGGCATGTATTACTCTTCTCCTCCTAGAGAGACAAATGGATGTGGGCTAGGATGAACTTCAGCTCTACCTGAAAGCTGTGCCTCACACTAAGTGATCAGGGTGGTGCACAGAAAAATGTGTGTCCTACAGCCTGCTGGCAGCCAGCATGGCTAAAATAAGTCAGAGAAAGTACTTGTAGTTTGGTATTCAAAACCATAGAATTATATGTTGAAAAGTGTGTTGGGTAGGCATTAACGACAGTTATTTTAACATTTAAGTTTCTCTCCTTTCAATAAAATTTGTTATATCCCATGCATGGTCATAATATGTGTTATGTAACATTCCTTTGCTCAACAAACTTTGTATTTTTAATTTTTTTCTTTCCTTGAATCACTGTGCACTAAGTCACCAAACTGTATTCATGCTAACATTATTGTTTCTGTCTTGCCTAATGTACTTTAAGGAGAAAGTGATAGGCAAATATACAAGCTAAAGAAGCTCCAGGATAAACAGAATATACGTATGTGAGATAACGATGCTTATTTGATTTGGTGGGGAGGCATGCACAATGTGCTTTTGACTTTATCAGTACTAATAGCTGGTTTAGTAATAGTGAAACTCATAATTTGTTAACGTTTGCCACTAAGAATGGAACTGTGAAATTATTATTTTTTTTTTTTTATTAATTGCTCCTTACCCATTGGATGATACATCTGAAAAACTTGCTCAGACAAGATGCCGTGAATAATTAATTGTTAAAATTTTTACCTCCTTGTCCTGGGTAAAATGGTTTATTATCAGAAGTACTCTTTGAAATGAAATTAAGCTTGCAAGGTGCTGTTCCAGGGTGTTATTTTCTCTTCAGTACAGAAAATCACTTCTTTTATTTCAGGCGTGTTTAAGGTATCAGGTGCCTCAGTTCCTACATAACAAGGATCCTGAAAATTAAGAGTGGGGGAATGCAGTATTTTAATGTGTGGGAGCAGTGCAGAACTTCAGATGGGGAAAATTATTTTGTCTTCCTGCACAACACAAAACTTCTGTGCGTGAAATTAATTTGAACATCTCCAATCTCGAGTGCTCACTTTAGGAACAGAGTTTATTATATTTGCACTTTAATCTCATCACATCACATGGTCTAGAGCTGAATATGTCAGTGTGGAATAACTCAGTTTTTACCAGCTCATACTGACAACTTTATTTTGTATATATTTTTTAAGAAGAATCTGGGTTTTCTTCTCATTTTTCTAAAATTGTTGGCTTAAAGACCAAAAGAAAGGAAAAACCAAACCATTAATTTTGAAAGTGTCTGGTATGGGCTAATCATAAATTGTTAATGTTTTATTCCCTTTTATCCGGAAGAGGCACAAGATAAGTGTGTTCATTAAATTACAGGTTATGATGTGTTCAGTGCTTTGGTGCTAAAGAGCACATATTGCAATCCAAAATGAACACATATTATATGCAGTCCTGGTTTGTAGCTGATCTGTAACTGCACTACTTCTTAGGTTTGTCTTATATAGCAGTGCAAAATACAGTATATTGCAGAATTAGTACTCTGCATCAGCCCACTTCTAATAGCCAACTAATAAACTACAGATCTGTTAAGTCACTACAAATTGGGCATGATCTAGATGCCAGATCTTTGTAACTTGTGTGGGGCTTTTTGTTTTGTATGAAATTTGCATCTCAGATTTTGCATTGGTGGATTTAATCACATTTATGTAGAGAAAATATTTAATTTTCAAGTCTAAGCCACTTGATTTTTATGGAAGTCGGTGTAAGTCAGGTTTTGAAAGTCATTGTGCATACAGAGCCTAAGATTTCTAAGGTCACGATAGAGCTCGATAGATTCTTTTTTCTGAATGGCATGTTAAAGTGTGTAATGTGTAATGTTTTAAAATATACTTACTGTTAATGAGTGGTCAGGAAACAGTACATGAAAGAAAATTGCTCCTCTGGCTGTTGCTTTTTTCCATGAGGAATATTAGGTCCTTAGTTCCCTCTTTGCTGGAAGATTTTGGCAGGTTGTTAAATGAGTCTGTACCCAGCTCGCTAATAAGCTTCAACACTTCTCCACTTCCTCTGTCAGGTGGGATGAAGCTAGGGCACGATCCTGGTTTTGGAAACACTGCAGCTGATTATGTAGCTTAACCTGGCATCTGTTCATGGAGCTTCATCAGCTCCTTTTATAAAATATTTTGCTAAGGTCTACCAGCAAATGGAGGAGGGGAGGGTGGGCAGAGTGATAACTAATTCCTGAGTTTTGCATCTGTGGAAAATAGCTTCAGTCAAGCCCTATGTATTGCCCATAGAGAAACGTTTTTTGCTTTATCATTCACCCTTTTTTAAAAAAAAAAAATTAATAAGGTGTGATTTGTATAGCTGAAGGGCAGATAACACATTGCAGGAAATGTCTGTTTTAATCTTCTGTTCTACTCTCCTTAAGAAGTGTCTTTCCTGTCCACAGGAAGGCTTATGCACCTCTATGCTGTTTGTGTAGACTGCTTAGAAGGGGTTCACAAAATTATCTGCATTAAGTGCAAGTCCCGATGGGATGGAAGCTGGCATCAGCTGGGAACTATGTATACCTACGATATTCTGGCAGCATCTCCCTGTTGTCAGGTTAGTACCGTACATAAATAAGACTCATAAGGTGAAATTCCAACTGATGATAAATAAGGCCAAGGTTTGTGTATCTCTTCTGACTTCCCTTCTTCCATCCTTCTTTTCCAGCCTGTACCTATGAGTGCAATACAAGAAAGCTGATCAAGTCCCTGTTCCTTTGTCTTAACTTAAGAGGCACAATGGCCTATAGCTAGACAAAAGCCAATGCAATGGTCAGTGGTTAATACTTATGTTTTTAAATAAAGCCACTTTAAATGCATTTGCAATTAAATCTGATGCTTAGTATGCTCACTAGCAAGTATGTTTGGCATCAGGTATAATTCCAGTAGTATTTTAATAACAATTGCACATTTTGACAGGTGTTTCATGTATTCAAGTTTCTTTCAGTTGCTTGAGTTGTTTTTTATCATAAGATAATGGTAGCAGAAAAGCCAAGGGAACGGAAAGGTCTAAAGTATCTTTGTGCTTAGAGGTTAGCCAGTTCTCCATAATCTTTGCTGTGACTTGTCTCTGGTGATTGTACTGTACCACAGCCTGAAGCAGCTTAGTTTTCATTAAATACCTAATCTATGCCTTTGGTGAGACATATCCAAGGCCTGAGGTTACTCCAGAGTAGACATGTGCCTGAGCCAGCAGGATCATCAGCATCCAAGAGAATTGTCCATGTGATGGGCAGAGCACTTTTGTTGTGCAGGTAGGGGTAGACAGCCATGGAAAAAACATTCGTCGGGGAATGGCTCGGTGTTCTGCTCAGGATGCTCAGGAGCAAGCTGTTGCCTTCAGGTACGCAGGTGCTGTTGCTGGGTTAGGACAGGAACCTCGCAGAGATGCACTCGTTCAAAGTGTGATCACCTCATGGTAACGAGCAGTCTAAAATACAGTTTTGTCAATATGCGAAATGCCATTTTACATTTAACGTGTTTACCGAAATGCGTTGCTCGAAGGACAAGTGGTGTTGCTGCTACTGGTTAAAATGACACTGATAACAGTTTTAACTGAAGACAGAGATATTACCTCCAAATTTAGTGCCTGTTGAGATTGTTGTACCTTTTTTTTTTAAAAAAAAAATAGGGACTTTAAAAGATAAAACACTGATGCTGACTTGCTAGCTCTGTAAAAGCCAGCAAATTTAAATCTGAATTGCTTCTGTTGCATGTAACAGACAAGAATTAAGGTCTCATTATACAAAAGCCTTAATTATATGATTAATGGGCAGTGTGACAGTACATGGTAAGTAATAGAACTGACTATGAAATCATTAGCTGCAGTGACTGTGATTGCCAGATAATACACATTATTGTTTCACCATGATTGTTACAGATGATTCCCTGCATACAGAGGAATGACATTTAAATATGGTATATAATTTAACTCCAAATTGCCTTACTAATTTTATTTTGAATAATTTCATATCTTATTTCAAAATATTTAATTAGGCATCACAAATATGCATGTAGGATAATGAGCTGCAGCCACTGTCAGGTTACTAGCGCCTAGCTGATGTGCTGGACAGTAGCAAGGGGGCAACAACACTTTGGTTAAGAAAATCATACCAATCCATACCCTGCTAGATTGTCTTTCATAAAATTTCTACTTTTCAAGCAGAGCAGATGGCTGTGGAGCTGGTGGTTTGTTTCTTTTTGGCTCTTGTCTCACCAGCAATAGTACTTTAATAATTTATTCCTCTCCTTATCCCAGGAAAATTCCTTAAATCAAGATTGCCATAGAAAGTAATTTTTTGTTCTTTTCAGCAAAGAGCTGAAGTATTCATTAGTGTATTGGGCTGCGAGGTTAAGCTACGGTTCAGCTCAGGCCCTTGCTGCTCTTTTGCCACCTTTACTCTTAAACTCCTTTGTGGTCTCAAATCCCTTTTGCTTCTCTTGAGTATCTCAAACAGCCTGCTGAGCCATTACACCGCCTGTTGCTTTCTTTACATCAGATGAGTTGGGTTTCTTAGCTAGATGACTTCTGAAGACGTATTTTTTATTACTGCTGAACATTAATAACTCTGTCTGTCTTCACCCTTACCTTTAGTTATTTCTCATATCCACCCCGTTAATGTTGGTCCTTTTGCAGTTGGATTTTGTAGAATAGTTTGGTGCTTGAAGTGGTGTTTAGTTTGTATAACCTGATACGTATTATAAATATTTAAATAGATGCTTAGTGATAGATACAATACCATGCCATGCTGATAAAGTAGATTGAGTTATACATTTGTTAAGACAAGAGATTAAAATGCTGATATATTTCATAGACAGATCATGTTCAAATGTCAACATAAATGGTTGAATTGCATGGCACAAATGTACAGTTTTTTCTCTTTGCTTCGGGGCTTCATTAATGATTTATTGAGACACCACTTCTTGTGCTGGAGATTGAGGAATTGGTTCAGAAATGAAGCAACACAAAACTTCATTTGCATATATAAACTTTGAAATTCCCTACCTCCCATCAGTCAGAGTGGGAGGTAACCTACTCTCCAGAATTTCGTGGTGGTATTTCATGTGAAAAACATTATGTATGCCTGTGAAGTACCAGTCCGGGTGAGGAATGTCCTTACCAGCAGATCCCATTATTGCCCATTTCCTGACTTACCCCTTCTGCTGCCACAGAGGGCAGGGCAGGGGGCTGTGTGTGATGCCTTCTTTTTCAGAGGCGAGGAGCGGAGGCGAATTTGGTTATTTCAAAAGGGTTTTTTGTTTGTTTCTTTGTTTTTTACAGGCTCGACTGAACTGTAAGCACTGTGGGAAGCCAGTAATAGATGTACGGATTGGCATGCAGTATTTCTCTGAATACAGCAACGTCCAGCAGTGTCCTCACTGTGGAAATCTAGACTACCACTTCGTGAAGCCATTTTCTTCATTTAAAGTTTTGGAGGCTTATTGACGAAAGCTTTGCTTTAGTAATAGCTATTTTATGGGTATTTCAACTTTATTACATATCTTTTTATAGGATTCATTCTGTGATGAAATTTAATTTCTTTTCTAACTGAAAGAGCAGCTTCTTTGTCTGTGTACATATTAATATGTATATATACATGTTGTTAAAACCAGAATCCTCCTGACAAGATCTCTGTGAAGGTTGGAGGCAAGCCAATTTAATGGCCTTGAAATATATCCCAAGTGTGGGGTAAAGTTCAGCTAAAAATGATTTGGTTTTATTTTTTTGTATAATTGTAATACAGTTTATAGGAAGGGTGTGAGGAGACGTACAGGACAGAGAAATATGTCCAGTTGGAAAATGGGTAGTTGTGTAGGGTTGTTGTCCCTCCAGCTTGGTGGAAATGGGAAATCCTTGGAAAGAAACCGTCCTGTTACTGTTGAATTCATGCAGCCTTTCGCATCGGTTCCCATGGGCGCAGGAGCTGGCCCTGCGCTGCCAGTTGCCTCAGCAGGCTTTCTTTCAGATTTCCCGAGACGGGGTGAACTAAGGTATTGTGACAAGTGAATGTAAATGTATGCCAGAAAATGCAATCTTGAAATGGAAATAATTTTTTCTCTGGCATAGCGTCTTCCTGCCGTGTGCGTTTGATATGCATTGCCTTCAGTGACGGACCGTACGGCAATAGTGCTGCTTCCACCGGGGCTGTCATGTGCCCAGCCGGGTCATCTGTTCATACCAAAACAAGCTGGAGATCTTAAAATGCTTTATTTAGAGGTGTTTCTTCACAGACATTTTAGGGAAGGAACAGGCTGAGCTGAATGGGGATGTGTTTGTATGTATCTGCTGGGGCTGGGGCTTTGCTGCCTGCTGCGGACTGGTGTGACTGGTGTGGAAGGAGGACCGTGGAGTGGGATCTGGGCCGTCAGACCTGTAAGAGCTGAGAGGTACTGAGTACAGGACATGGCATCACTTTTTAAAACAGTTAATTGCTGCACCTTTATCTTTCAAAATTGCGTTAAGTCCAGGATCTAAAAACTTGGAGACTATTTAAGAAAGCAAACTTAGTGTATTTACTTTCTACATGCCTCTGTGCTGTACATAATAGACTATGCATTAGGCAGTGAATTTGTGTCAGAGGGCTTGGCCCTGTAGACTCTGCAGTTGTTGTTTCTTTGTTCTCATTTCTCCCTTCCTTAAATAAAAATGTTTAAAATAGGTCATTAATCTTTTGCTTGGTTTCTCAAGCCAATTGAGATTTAGGGGAGGTTTGGTTTTTTTGCTTTTCTCCATAGTATGTTTATGGAGTGTTTGTCCACTTGAGAGGTGTGGGTTTTGTTTCTGTTTATGAGGTGGGATTATTTTTTGTTTCTTCTGAAGTTCTTTTGTTTTTCCAAATCAGAATCTTTTTAAGGAGCGTACGTGTTGAAATGCTCTTGAAAATGGCCCTGATACTCTGCCACCCTGGGAGAGAAAACAAAAAAGTCAGAAGCCAAAAAAAGTGTTTCATATGCTGGACTGAGAATTACACTTTCTGCTAAGTTAAGAAATTAATGTGCACATAAAACTCAAAGAGAATATCCGTGTTTCTTTGTGCATAAAAATGCCAAGTTCACAGCTTTATTTCCTGGCTGTCTTCACTGCAGAATTAGCTCCTTTTAGCGTTAGCCACTCTGAGTAATATTCAGGCTGCACAGAGGCTTATGTTGGCACAGATGACTTACTGCTAACTTGAGTGGTAACGGCCTTAGAAGCCAGCCAGCTCACGTTAAATGGTTTTCCCATCTACACTGTCTATCTCGTACAGTTACACTGCTGGTCTGAACAACAATGTTAGCAGGCTGTGGTAGCTCCCCTCCTTCTGTCCTTGCTCCTGGGCTTGGTTTCAGGTCTGAAGCACATCCTTGCGGTTTTATACAGTTGTTCCCTGTTTGTGAGAGTTTTGGGAAGACCTGTTTCCTTTTCAAGGATAATTATGGGAAGGACTTTGAGAGACTTCTCACGCCGTTCTTGCGTGGCTATCACAAACCAAGTTACATCAAGCCCAGTTGCAGTGGGACCAGTGCTGTAACCATTGCCCGCAGGAGCAGGAGCTGGCCTAGGTATACCTGGGATGGAAGAAAGTGTCTAGCAGATAAAACCTGCTTAGCTGTGCAGTGTAGACTTCCCTTATGGAGAACAATCAAATTATAATTTGAATTAACTCCTCAGGGAGGATGAGCCCTTCAGCTTTGAAGGTGCATTGAGCAACCTGATGGAGTTAGGGTGGTTCATAAGGTTTGGAGCAACATTGCCTGGTAGTACTGTGAAAACCAGACCAGATGGACAACAGCTAGGCTGTTCCAGTGGCCTGAAATCACACAGCAAAGGCAAAGCTCCTGTAATGAGAAGAGTTAGAGGATACATCTGTTCCTGTAGTGTTCAGTCTTGAGTGCCAGTCGCTCATCATGAGTCTAGGGTGTTAATACCCACGTAGGCTACATGGCGTTGGGTACCCACTTTTTCATGCATCAGCGAGGGGAGGTGTCAGTGTACAACACGCATGGTAGGGGAGAAGTGGGATCAGGAGTCCTTCTGAATACTTGTTTGTTTGCTTTCCTTAGAGTAGCTTGATTTATAATTCTGTTCTCTCAGTACTTGGATGCCTCTCCAGACATGTATGTGTGACAATCGAGAATGAGTAGACATGGGAAAGAGGAATTTGGCCAGCTTTGAAAACACAAGTGTGTGAAAGGTGGTACAGTATATTCAAGAATGCAGCAGACTGAGAAAATGGGAAGGGGAAAGCATATTTAAAGTCTTAAAAGTGACAAAGAGTTACGTACAAAGCTATCCAGGAAAACAATTTAGTTCTCCACCAGCTTTTCCTTTTAATTCTGCTGTTAAGTGAGTCTTACCTACTGCTTTAGGAAATGCCTGTTTTCTTGCAAAACACTTCTCTCAACTGGAGGTTAGCGGCACTTGTAGCACTGTAAAAACGATCCTTGATGGAAACCAGCTGAGCTACAGAAAGATTCTTCTGAACTTTCACTCCAAAGTAAATTGTCCCTAATTTGTAGAGAATGCTTCCCTGCTTCTTGTTGGTACTGAAAACTGGTCTTGGGTTGCTGCAAAATTTTCTGTATTTTCTGTAACATGCGTCAGATTCCGGTCAAGCAGTCAGGCCTGCCCTTTGCCCATGAGAGTTTCAGCTGGGCTTTGCGTAAGTAGAAAGGCAGAGGTAACTTCTTTGGGACCTAATGCCTACTTCAGAGGTTAAACTAGACCGCAGTTGGTTTGCTTTCTGTCTTGACAGGCATTGGAAGTAGTCATGAGTTTTTAAATGTGTCAAAAGGGAAGTGATTTCCCTAGCTAGGGAGCTGCTTGCTTTGCTTGTTTGGCTAAAGTTTATTCTTCATTACTTTTCATTTTTCTGATGCTGTGTATTCTTTTTAATCTGACCTGTGGTCAGATTAAATTGTGCCTGCAATATGTTTGTAAACGAGAATACAGTCCTCTGGATTTGGAGGTTCATTCTACTCTTCTTAAGTGCACGATACTCCTTGTGATAGTAATAGGAGTTGCATGTGCAAATGCTTTTCTTTCCAGTAGTTAACTCTTTTTCCATAGGAGGGTCTTGCATTTAGATAGACTTCATATTTTGGATGTGTAAAAATTAATTCATCCATCAGTAGGATGTTTAAAAGCAAATTTTGATAACCTTAATTAACACAATGGACATCTTTTACATGCTGATGTGTAATTTGGCATCTACCAAGGTGAACAGCCTGAAATTACTGTTCTGTCTAATGCTGCGGAGTCATTAAAGCTACAGTGTTCCATAGCCAGCCCACAGACTGTCCTTTAGTCTATTTGCATTAACATCTCCGATAGTGAGCTGTGTATTCATAATGAATTTGGTTGGGAAAATAGGGACTATTCCTACAAGAGAGGCATCTAACCCAGTTTCTTTTTTTTTTTTTTTTTTCTTCTTCTTCCCATGTACTCTTCATTTTGCTATACCAGGTAACCAGGGACAAACATGTTGTTGTAAGGCCACTGGTGAGAAAAACCCTCAAAAATATACTTGTCTATAAAGGTATCTTGTTGAGACATTCTTGGATTGCACTTTTGCAGATGGAAGAATATGTACATAGCAAATGAATGTTGATGAAATTAAAATAATTGGTTATGATATCATTTGCGTGTGTTGTTAGAGAATATTTTGTTGTGACTTCTCTGTATTAAAAAGTAATAAATACCAGACAGCTAATGGTGTGGGTTCTTCTTTCCCCGTTCTTCTCTTGACTAGGTTCTTACACCTGCTCTTTATAGAGAGACTTACTGTAGTCACCTTAAGTATTAAAGGGCGCAATGAAAACAGGTTTTCAGTGTCAATTAAAATGAAGCTTTGATGTGGCAGTTTTGAAGACCACTGTACTAAAAGGGCGTGGGGGGCAGGTGTGACATGTCCCCTTGCAAAACAGAAGTCCTGTTCACTTCGTTCACATTGGAAATGCTCCTCCTGCAGCGTAGCGTGTCCCGTGGGAGCACTTTTGGGAAGACCCGTGTGCTGTACCGCCCATTGCCAGTCGGGGTGAATAGAAGACAGAATGCTGAATCCTTCACTTCTGTTTGAGTCTGTTAGTGTAAATATGCCCTCTGCTGCCTGAGATGTGTCAGAAGGGCTTCTGTAGGGGAGAATGCAATATAGTAGCATTAGGCAAAAGGGTTTCCCATGTTGTGACTGAACACTTCACCTCTGAAACCCCATTGCAAGTGTGGGAGCCTCAAATCCTTGATTCCTGCATAAGGTTTTCGTCAGTCTGACTAATCCTCTAATCATGCATTTTAGCAAACCTTGCTCCATATGCATAGAGCATGATTTTTCAGCCTTTGCATATTACCACTCAGAAGTTCAGGAAGGTTGTGAAGGATCAAGGCAATCCAGACTTAAAAAAAAGTAAAGCAAATACTGCTGTGGGGGGAAGGAGGGCCATGGCTCAAGAGAGATGAGGCGTGATTTG